GATATTTTGGCCTTCAACCAGAAATCCTAATAGCTGGTAAACTGGTGGGATTTCTGGGAGTTGTAGGCCAAAACACCAGGGGACCCACAAGTTGAGACCCACTGTCTTACAGGGAACGGCTTTGTGAATTATACAAATGAGAAGTTGTTGTCATGATTTATACCAGTCTTTCTCAACTCCCTTTACCCTGGAGAAACCTTTGAAATAATTTTCAAATATTAAGAAATCTCTGCATAAAAATAAGTATTTACAGCTCATGTCACTTTTCAATGTGGAAAATTCACTAGTCAGGCATTTCAGTTTCACATGATGAATCCAATGTGATTATCCCCTTGTGTGAGATACACACCATGCCAAACCAAATCATATGACCAAAGACTAATTGCAAAACATTCCTTTTAGACAAACCTTTCAACTTACTTGACACATGCTGGACTTTTGTTGTGGCCATTTTAATGAGTAATACATTTTTTTTACCCAATATTAATACTGAATGTATAATGTATTTATTATTTTTGCATACTACTTTGAGCAGATTTTTTTCTGTAAACAAGTCTTTAAAACGAGTGGGAAATATCTGTAACACAATTAAAATAGTTTCTGGGGCCCACATGTGGCCTCCAGAAGCTCTATTTTGGGACTCTTCTTGGGCTCTAGAGGAAGAACAAGGTAGACAGAATCAAGAAGCACTTTTAAAAAGCTATAAAAGATAGAACAGATATTGGCAAGTTTCCTAATAATGCATCAGAAAATGGATTTTCAGTGGTGCATTCAATGAGGCTCAGAAAGATATGCTGGATGAATAAACAGACTGAATCACACTAAGGCACAGAATCTTTAAGAAGGGTCTGCATTAAAAAAAACACATTAATTTTCTTACTGTCAACTGCCATTAAACGTTGGGTACCTACTAACTGGAAAAAAATGCTTGACTATAATAATGATCTACTGGAATTCTATATTTCCAGAGGCATCCAAAGCTTATATCCAAGCAAGCAGATACCAAATAAACAGCTTTCACAAATAAAACATACTAAGACCTGTGAAGTTACACTTAATTATTGTCCCTTTGAATTATTTTATTTGTTCAATTTACACCACACCCTTCTTACAGTACGAGAACCAAAGCAGTTCACACCATGTAGTCTTTGTTTGGGAACTTGTGGTGTTTCCCAAATATACATGAACTCCTTACACAAAGGGATGGGGCACATACCTGGTTCAGTCTCTATTCCCTGTAACAGGAATGAATTAAGTAGTTCTAGCTTAGTGTGCCTTAGCTTAGTATGATAAAGCAGCCTCAATTTCATGAATCAAAATAAATTCCGATTTAGTGATTTTAAAAATGGCAAGACTCTTGTATCCAGAGAAGCTGCAAGTCATAGCTCAACACTGAAAGTATTGACATTATACTGGAAGTACTTTTAAAAAAGAGTTAAGGTTTATTGCTCACATTGACCCATGGATAAGTTGACCCAGGAAAACATATAGTGGCAGCATTCAATATATGCATGTAATATTATATTTAATATGCACAATCCTGACAATTTGCACATTTAATTTTTATGTGATGTTAATAGGTGAAGAAGACCTTAGTGACACTAAGTATTTTGGAAAGATGACGGTATAAAAGCAACAGAAACTACCTCCAGATCCATGTACTACAAAAGATCAAAGGTAGCACTGGTCACCAATAAGGTTTTTTTTAAGGAACAAGGCATACAGAACTGGAGGTGAATTCTGCTTTCCATTCTGTAAGTTGCTCTTGACACCAGTGCCACCTAGAGAAAATTAGCAAAACTTCAGTTTCCAAAAGAACTTGTGTGTGTTTGATGGTTAAGGCTAAAGAATTAAGTTTTCATATGCTGAGTTACAGCCTGACTAAAGCAGTGGTTAAAACTGCAGCATCACCTGCACAGAAATAAAGGGTAAAAGCTTAACAGGTTCCCATATGCATATTTGGACTACAATGGGTCTTAGTTCTGTGGTGATTGAAGACTATACTGAATAGGAAACTCTAGATCAGGGGTCCTCAAACTTTTTGAACAGAGGGCCGGGTCACAGTCCCACAAACTGTTGGAGGGCCGGATTATAATTTGAAAAAAAACATGAATGAATTTCTATGCACACTGCACATATCCTATTTGTAGTGCAAAAAGCACTTTAAAAAGTGGTTCTCAACCTTTCTAATGCTGTGACTCCTAAATAAAGTTCCTCATGTTGTGGGGACCCCCAATCATATTTTTGTTGCTACTTCATAACTGCTACTGTTATGAATCGTAATGTAAATATCGGATATGCAGGATTTATTTTCATTGTTACAAACTGAACATGCTTCAAGCATAGTGATTAATCACAAAAACAATTTGTTTGGGGGAGTATGGACAACTAATAATGGGATTGCCAGTACATTCAACCGATTCAGCTCTGACTTCCACAGACCACTGAGACACCCCACGAATTACTGACCTGGAGCAAACCTGGCACACAGAATCCCCATGGCCAATATAAAATACTGGAGTAGGTTAGGAAAAACTGACAGTGATTTACAAGAGATGTAGCTCACCTACATCTGGAGAGCACTGTGAACCCAAATGACTGGATCTGGACCAAATTTGGCACAAATATTCAATATGCCCAAATTTGAACACTGGTGGAGCTTGGGAAATATAGAACCTGACATTTGGGAGTTGCAGCTGTGGGATTTATATTCACTTGCAATAAAAGAGCATTCTGAGCTCCACCAACAATTGAACTGAACCAAACTTGGCATACACAACTCACAGGAGCAACAGAAAATACTGGAGAGGGTTGAGGAAAAAAGACCCTGACATTTGGGAGTTGCAGTTGTGGGATTTATAGTTCACTTGCAATAAAAGAGCATTCTGAGCTCCACCAACAATTGAACTGAACCAAATTTAGCATACATAACTCCCAGCGGCAACAGAAAATACTGGAGAGGGTTGAGGGAAAAAGACCCTGACATTTGGGAGCTGCAGTTGTGGGATTTATAGTTCACCAGCCATCAAATGGCATTGTGAGCTCCACAAAATACTGGAGGGGTTTAGGGGTGGATGTAGAACAGATGATGGGATTTGCAGTACCTTCAATGGCTTCAACTTTACATCCAAATCTCTGGACTCTCTCCCACTGCCTGGAGGCACAGCTGATAGGAGAGGTGTCCTTGCTGGCCCCCAGCACAATGCAGCCATGTGCAGGAAGCATCCGGGTGGTGGTCTCTTTCCCCGCACATTTGCATTTGCTGGTGGAGGGGGCGCGCCCAGGGGCCAGTGGAGAGAGCGCGCTCTTCCCCCACCCGCTTAAGAACACAGGAGGAGGGACACTCTGGTGTTGGAATGTGTGCGGGGGAAGAGACCTGGAGCACGTGCGCGTTCCCTCCAAMGGCCCTTCCCCCACGCACTTGCGAATGCTGGGAGAGGGACACTCTCCAGAATTGGCAAGCRYGGGGGGGGGGGGGGATAGGGCTGGTGCACTCCCAGAGTGGAGAGGCGATTCCATTTCACACAATCTTAATCAGTGATCCATGATTTCCTATTCTCTTTGAAAGAGAGTCYGGAGAAGTTCCAGATTGAGGCCAATTTCCCTCGCCGCGTTCTGTCCTGCCTTCCCACTTAGGAGTAGCCCAAGCCTCCCACGTTGCAAGAAGCGGGMCTCAGCCACACGGAAGTCCTCTTTGTGCAGRACCTCATGGACGATTGATGTTTYCCCCCCTCCAAAATACAGAGATGGAACGAGATTCCTATTATAATACAATTTTATATAATACACTCTTGGGCACATGCTCTCCGGAGTTGGCAAGTTTGCAAAGGAAGGGGGCCAGTGCTGGGAGCGCGCCAGCCCTATTCCCCCCCCTCCCCCATGGTTGCCAATGCCGGAGAGCGTCCCTCTCCCAGCATTCGTAAGTGCGCGGGGGAAGGGCYGGTGGAGAGAAYGCACACTGTGCTCTGGGTCTCTTCCCCATTTCAGAGTGTCCCTTCGCCCGCCGCCTCCTTCGCCATCTTCTGCCTTTGGGATGAGGCGAGGCCCCGCCCCAAAGGCAGGAGAAGGCCAGCCTGGGCCAGGGAAGCAGCAGGCAACGCAGCCCCAAATGGGGACTCACCCTTCACACCCTGCGGGCCGGATAAATGCCCTCGGGGGGCCAGATACGGCCCACGGGCCTTAGTTTGGGGACCCCTGCTCTAGATATTGTGAATAGAAGCCGCAGTGGATACGCACAAATCAGTTTTTAAGGTCCAATTTAGATGAAGCACATTATGTGCTTTTTGACACAACACCATTGCTTCCATCTCAATTAGAGTTTAGACATTCAATTGAACGACTAAACACTATTATCTAATGGGTCATAATTTTATTTTTGTGATTTAGTCAATATAAATATTGATAATATAAAGCAGCCACAGGATATGCAAGTTTGTATGCTCTATTTCTTCTTAACAAGAAACAATACAACTCTTATAATCAAAAATAAAATCTGCACTAAGAAAGATGCTAATTCATAAAGAATAAACATCAATATAGTTTGAGAATCCCTTACCCAAAATGCTTGGAACCAAAAGCATTTTGGATTTCAGACTTTGAGATAACCTATGTTTGTATATGGAAGTAATTCTACATAATACTGCTAAAAAAATGCCGTTTACAGTATTCCATCAGAAATCAAAGGTATCACACTATCTCATCCATAAATGTGGACAATTTTTGGAATTTTTGGAATTCCAGTAACAGGACACTAAACCTTTGCAATGTGTTACCTGACCAGGTAAAAGTAACATTGATTGCTATGTCTGAACGTTCTAGTTTAATTCAAAATGCTTAGCATTCCACACTGCTTAAAGAACATGCAAATTCTACACAATTAGTGTGCACAGATGCTGCAGCATTACCCAGCCATAAGGCATCTACAGTTTATCTGGCTCCACTGAAGAATGATTCAGTAGTAAAACATAACAGCTTTTTTAGATAAGGCAAACTAAAAGGTGTTCCTTCAAAACAGTTTAATTCAAAAATTATTTTGTTGTGTTTTAATACAAGGAAAAATGTTTTAACAGCCTTGTCAAACCCTGAATTAACCCACCCCACTGTTAACAACATTAATCTGGGCCACAAAGAGGCATCCAGCTTTACTAAAGTACGAGCTGCATTCATTTCAAATGCATTTTTCCACATTACAAACAAGATTTTCCCATTTGTTGCAAGTACTAAAAAGACATTTCTAGATATGATCACAAATGGATCAACTGTAATTAGATGCATGTTTAAATACATTCCAGTCTAGAAATTACCACACAACAGCTGCAAAAGCTTGTTTGTTGTTCCATCTTTTACATTATAAGTCTTTATTGCTCCGTATCCATGTTAATCTTCATATATGATATTTCTGATAGCCTTTTTCATTTCTTCTTCTTTCCTTTACCTTTTTTGCCTCCCTCGCCTTGCTGTAGACTTTGGTCACTTCCCCCCATTTTCTGTGTCCTTGTTTTTAGTTTGGGGATTGTTTCTGCTGCATACAACATCACTGCCTTACCTTTAAAAAAAACAATATTTTAGGGGGAAATGAAGAAAAGAGCAATCATGAACAGCCTCAATTTCTCACCTGCTCTACTGTCCTTAAACATCCAAAACACTACTACAAAGGGAAAAGCTAAAAACTAACTATCAGCTTTTCGGTGGGACTGTTATTATTTGCAAGCAAATTACAATTTCATGTAAAAATGCTTTTTGTTGGAATTAGTTTGCATTACAGTTGGCCCTATGTATCGACAGATTCAACCACCCATGTTTTGAAAATATATATATTTTAATTCCAAAAAGCAAACCTTAAGTTTATATAAGGGACATCATTTATATTACATCATTGCGTAGAGAATCCATGGGTTTTGGTATCCACAGGTCCAGGAACCAAACCCCAGCAGATCCCTAGACGCCACTGTATTTTGCTTCTTAATCACTTTGTATATTAACAGAAATAGAGTGTTTCAAAATGATACCCAGTTTCAAAGCAATACATTTTGTGATGGCAACAATCTACAATTGCACAAAGTAACAAACAGTTTAATGAGTTATCATGTTTTACTAACCATGTTTGAGCCAGAAACATCTAAAACATAACTCTACAAATGGAGAATATCTCATTAGGGTTGCCATCTTGAGAATGATTGAGGCTAGAGTCTGTTTGTGCACTGGGAGAGGCATCTAGCACTAATCCTTTGAAACTCTATGCAGCCACCATTTGAAGTAGCATGGGCTTCATTTATGGTTAGTGGTTGCAGAGATATGGCCATTTCAAATTGGGACCATCTTTTTGGAACACCCTGCATAACTACTCTAAAAGGAACACATTACAAAGATACCTATATTTCAATCACTACAGTTGAATTTTAACATGTGTTATGTCCACTCACGTGTTGGAAACTGAGGTTGACAAGGATTGCCATCTTCCTGCTTGAGCTGAATCCGCACCCGACCCCTATATTGTGCATCACGGTTCCACTCCCTGGGATACATTTTGTTTTTCTGGCATTTGGGGGAGAAAAATTTTTAAAATTTTACTTACAAGAAAACGGAGTTCAAATTCTAAACTTTGATATTTTAGTGCAAAATTGTCTGCATGCATTAGAACTAAATTCTGTGTAAGGATTTTTAGGAATCGGCTGTGTTTTCCAATATGCTTCCCATGCATTATCTTGATAATATATGTAACAGTGCTGTAAAGCATTCCATTGTCCTCACACTACAGATTGTCAAAGGTTATTCAGAATTCACAGCCAAGATGCAAAATTTCAAGTGCAGAGGTAATTATTTCAACAGTTATTGTATCCAAGGTCAATTTTTTTACATTTACGACTGTACTTAGTGCTAAATGACAAAACAGGCTCAAAACATTTCCCTCTTTTCAATCACGTCCCATGGGAGCAGAAGGGTGTTCTCAGATTACCTCCAGAAGCACATTAAGTCCAACAGCCACACATACATCTTGAATTTCTGTAGATGTTGGATTTTCTACTGCCTACAAGAATAAAACATTTTCGGTTAACTACTTTCTCTTGTATTTACTTTTTATTTAACTTTGAAACTTCTATACACAGATTAACAAAAATCAACTATGATGGCAGATTTGGAGTGTCCAATAATGTTAAAAACACATATATACAGTAGAAACAATGTTATGTCCTAGTGTTGTGTGCTTGTGTGTCAGGAACGACTTGAGAAACTGCAAGTTGCTTCTGGTGAGAGAAAATTGGCCATCTGTAAGGATGTTTTACTTCCCACAGGATGGTAAGGATCTTTTACCTCCCACAAAATGGTAAAACATCCATGCCCAGGGGACGCCTGGATGTTTTACTATCCTGTGGGAGGCCTCTCTCATGTCTTGGTCATATAAGGGGAAAATGCATAACATTCATATTGATAAGCAACCACCGTAAAAGGAAAGATATTTAGAAATTTAAAAGGGAAATATTTAGAAGTAGGGAGTTGCCAAAAAACACCCAACGAAATTCATATGGTGACCATAAGTCAGCAGGCAAATTGAAAGTGTAAGTTTAAACCAGATATATACATGGTCAATTAGCAGCTTGATAACTCACAGTTGTTGGTTTTTATTTTCAGTAATAGAGGGAAAGGTAGAGAGACTTGTTATAGCAATGATGAGGATCATGCTGCACTCAAAAATAGTGATAGAAAATCCTACCATTCCCAGCAATTACCTATGCTAACCAAGGATATTAGAAATTGCAGTTTCAGCATTTTAAGGACTATACTATTACTAATACTCAAGAAAAAAAGCCAAATACTTTTCACAAATATTCTCAGCCAGGATCCGGGGACAGACCGTGGATTCTTACAGAAGCAGTGCTCCATCTGCCTCCTGTGGCCTCTATGAACCCTAAAAACCTGCTCTGGTGAACAGGTTCTTGGCATCACAAACAATTTCAGCAGGAGAAGCAAGGGGAGAAAGTCCTAATTCTGATGCCATTGAATACTATATCATTTTAACAGCCTTTAGGAAGCAGTTAAAAACATGGCACTGGAAGCAGGCATTTGAAAATAGTTAGTGTAAAGGAAGAGATGGAGTTGTACGGGGGCGAACTCCAAACTGGGTTTTATTTCTTTTATCATCAAGATTAGGATCTGTGTTGTTTTTAATGACATTAAAATTTTAATTGTTTAAGTCTTACATTGATGTGACTGATGTTTGTGAGTTGTATTAATTATGATTGTTGGATTTTAATTTTAACTTTTATGATCTGTCCTTTTTTATTTGTTTGATTTAATCCTTGAGTATGATTGATACCATGTATACTGTTTCTTGCGTTGTGAGCTGCCATGAGTCTCCTTGAGGAGAGGGAGCGGATATAAATAATAATAATAATAATAATAATAATTATTATTATTATTATTATTATTATTATTATTATTATTATTATTACTGAAGTAGTCAGATTTTGGCTGTTTATTTTTTTTAAGTATACTAAAAAACCTGGCTATTTAAGAAGGCTTTTCACAATGGCTAAAAGTAAACCCATCCTATCGGACAGGACTTTAAGCGGCTATTATGACTATAATCCATAATCTGGAAACTTTAATCATAGAAATAGATGGTTTTAAATGGTGTTATATGCTGTTTTATAGGCTTTTATAGTTTTTAACTTTGTTATTTATCAAGTTCAAGTTCACTTAATTATGGTCAATGACCAATTTGAGAGAAGAGGGACATAGTTCCACACAATCATATCAGAGTTAAGATATTTAAAACTTTAAAATAAGTGTGTTATTGTTAGGAGATTAAGATAATTATTTTAAGAATCTAAGCTAAAAGCCCATATACAGGATTATATTAAACCTGAGACCGCACAAAGGAGCTCGTCTGCTATGATAAAATATCTCAGGTCAAGAGAGGAGCACTACATATCCGCGGCACTCAAACTATTTGATGCCAAGCTAGTAGCACAACTCCTTTATGGTGTCTAGTTAGGCCCCTTTTCTGACTTTACCCAATTGGAGAGTGTACAATACATATTCTTAAGATCAGCCCTCCAGGTACTGAGGTGTGTCTCCAACGCCACCCTACATCTGAAGACTGGCTTCCTGAGAATTGATGCCAGGGTGTAGGGTGTTATACTGAACAACTGGCTTAGAATATCCCTCTCTCCCCTTAGCCTTGCACCACTTACTATGTTGCTGTTTATCTATACTTATATTGTTGTGCTACTTTATTTTATTAATTTATATGTGATGATGATTATTATTATTTTGTGTCAGGAGCAACTTGAGAAACTGCAAGTCACTTCTGGTGTGAAATATGTGATTATTTCTATGCATATTATTGATTGCATTCATTCATTCAAGTCCCTTCTGGGAGAGGAGGCGGGGTATAAATAAAGCTTCTTATTATTATTATTATTTGTTATTAATTGTTATTAATTGTTATTACTATTATTATTAAAATACAACATTTTAGAATGGTGAATGCAATGTTTAAGAGTGTGTGCTAGCTACGTTTCCTCCCAAAAATCATTCCTAAGCACATTTCACACCTGAGGTTGAACAAGAAAGTTCAAATGCTGCAAAACACATCAAATTTCCAAGTAAGTGATCCCAGAATGCAACTGGGATTCTGTCAAGTATCTCCTTTCTGCAAAATGCTGACAAGGCCTGCTATGCTTACTTTGTCAAGAGGTATTCTTCTTCCTTCTGCTATGGTCTTCTTGTTATTTATGTAGGCTGGGTATATACAGATGAACCTAGGCCAAGAGAGAACATGTTTCGTTGAATCTATGGTATGTACAAAAAGACATTTATATAAGTAACAATGTAATGTTCATTTGTGGGATTAACATAACACAAAAACTACTGGACGAATTGCCGTCAATTTGGCCACAAGACACCTACTAATCCAAGGAGTGACCATCACTCAAAAAATTGATTTTGTCATTTGGGAGTTGTAGTTGCTGGGATTTATAGTTAACCTACAATCAAAGAGCATTCTAAACTCCACCAATGATGGAATTGGACCAAACTTAGCACACAGGACTCCCATGACCAACAGAAAACACTAGAAGGGTTTGGTGGGCATTGACCTTGAGTTTGGGAGTTGTAGTTTACCTACATCTAGAGAGCACTGTGGGCTCAAATAATGATGGATCTGGACCAAACCTGGCACGAATATTCCATATGCCCAAATATGATCACAGATGGAGTTTGGGGGAAATAGACCATGACATTTGGGAGTTGTAGTTACTGGGATTTACAATAAAAGAGCATTCTGAATCCCACCAATGACAGAATTGGGAGAAACTTCCCACACAGAACCCCCATACTGAAGGCCAACCAGTCCAACTCCCTTCACTAGGGCAAGAAAATGTAATAAAAGCCCTCCTGACAAAGAGCCATCAGGCCATAGATATAGGTAGATAGATATGATTCACACACATCATCATCATCATCATCATTTAATTACTTATTAATTGCCCTCCATCCAAGATGCTCTAGGCGATTTACAAGCTAAAATTGTAAAGTATAAAAATACATACATACAGATATTGATAAAATTAACAAAGATCAAAAGCTCTAGTAAAAAGCCAGGTCTTAAGTGCTAGGGTAAAAGACTCTAACTCATTAATGGCTCTCATATAGGGCGGCAAGGAATTCCACAAGGCAGGGGCAGAAATAGAAAAAGCTCTGCGTCTGGTCCTTTCCAAGTGCACTTCTCTAGGACCCGGTATATAAAGTAAATCACGTTGGGATGGTTGTTGCGACCTCCGATGATGGGAGAATGAGAGAAGGTCCCTAAGATACGATGGGCCCTGGCCATAAAGAATTTTAAAGGTCAGAACTAGCATCTTATATAGACCACGGTAATCAGTTGGAAGCCAATGCAAATGCCGCAACACTGGTGTTATATGGCATTTCATGGGCGTTCTTGTGAGTAGCCTGGATGCCGCATTCTGAACAATACGGAGCTTTCGGGTCGTAGACATCGGAAGACCCACATACAGGGTGTTGCAATAGTCCAGCCTAGATGTGACCGTGGCATGGATGACTGTTGCCAGAGCCTCATCAGATAGGTAGGGTGCCAGTTGCCTCGCTTGTCGTAGATGGAAAAAGGCCTGTTTGCTGGCAGCAGTGACTTGAGCTTTCATTGTCAGCTGCGAATCCAAAACGACACCCAAGCTCTTAACGGTAGGCAAAGGAGATAGGGCAGCACCATCGAAGGTGGGGAGCAAATGGGTCAGACCAATCGAGCGGCCATGCCAGAGAATCTCAGTCTTCGCCAGGTTCACCTTCAGTCTGCTAGCACGTAGCGAGTTCGACAGAGCCTCCAGACATAAGGTGAAATTGTCTGGTATTGACGTTGCTCCAGGCTCCAAATGCAGAAGGAGTTGGGTGTCGTCCGCATATTGATAGCCGAAACTCCAAGCCAAACTAGCAAGGGGTCTAACATAGATCTGAAAGGACCCCTAAAAAAAGGACAGTTATATGTTGCATGTTCCAGAGTAACAATGAGAACACTGACAAAGAAACAGCAAGAAATACTGTTTACCCACAAGCATAAAGGAATTACGTATATTAGAAACTCACACTTCCTCGTTACTTTGTTTTCCAGATCACCAGACTGGGCCACAGCAACGCATGGCAGGGGACGGCTAATAATAATAGTAATAGTAATAATAATAATAATCCTAACAACCTCAGGCCGCTTCCTGGAAGAGGAAGGGGCCTGAGGCTGTTAGGACTGGTGGGAGTTGAAGTCCAAACCCCTTGGAGGGAGGGCCCAAGTTGGCCCTGCCTAGCTGTGGCTGATGCCCCTGCTGAGCGTCCTTTTGCCACCCTAACCCTCTCCCCCTCCGAAGTCTTACCGGGATTTATCGGTGGGCAGCGAGGGCGCCGCCCAAGCCATGGCCTCGGCCTCCTCCGGCAAGCCAAGAAGGTCTCCCCGGACGCCTTCCCTGCTCCTCCTCTTCTGGGCGCCGCTCGGCAGGAGAGCAGCCACCTCAGGAGGCGGCCAGGGCTGGACAGGAAGTTGGACGCGCCGCAGGATGTCCTGCCCTCCCGCCGCTGACGTAGCCTAACCTCAATGGGCCACGCCACTATCACTCTAAGTTGAACGCTCACAGAGAGAGAGGGAGGAAAATGACGACGCACCTCCTGATCTCGCGAGAGTTTGTAGAGGCAATAATGACAAGAGGAGTGGAAGGGAAAGACTCGTAGACCATAGAGATACGAAATTGTAGAAGTTTATTTATCATGAGAACGAACTTCCTGGTCGCTTTTCTGCTTTGGTCACCATGAGATAATGACATAGCCGGAATCACTGAGTTGCTGTGAGTGTTCCAAGCTGTATGGCGATGTCCCAGTAGCATTCTCTCCTGACTTTTCGCCTCCATCTATGGCAGGCATCCTCAGAGGTTGTGAAGTCTGTTGGAAACTAGGCAAGTGAGGTTTATATATCTGTGGATTGCCCAGGGTGGGAGAAAGAACTCTTGTCTGATTTAGGCAGGTGTCAATGTTGCAATTGGTCATCTTGATTAGCATTGAATAGCCTTGCACCTTCAAAGCCTGGCTGCTTGCTGTCTGGGGATCTTTTGTTGGGAGGTGTTAGCTGGCCCAGATTGTTTCCTGTCTGGAATTCCCCAGTTTTCTGAGTGCTGTTCTTTATTTACTGTTTTCATTTTAGAGTTCATTTAAATATTGGTAGCCAGACTTTGTTCATTTCCAAGGTTTCCTCCTTTTTGTTGAAATTGTCCACATGCTTGTGGATTTCAATGGCTTCTCTGTGTAGCCTGACATGTTGGTTGTCAGAGTGGCCCAACGTTTCTGTGTTCTCAAATAATATGTTGTGTCCAGGTTGGCTCTGCTATGGCTGAATTAGTCTGCAGTGCCTTTCATGTTCTTTGATGCCAACCTCTGAGGATGCCTGCTATTGATGCAGGTGAAACGTCAGGAGAGAATGCTACAGAAACACCACCGTAAAGCCCGAAAAACTCACAGCAATCCAATGACAGTATGTCTTTTTTAAAGTGTGTGTGTGTACTTTAACGCAGTTTAATGTATTAATTTCGCCACTTTTGAAAAACTGGAAAGTACAGCAGTTTGGAGATGGGAGTTATTTATTACTTTTAAAAGCAACTCCTCAGAAGTATTGCCTAAGAAGATTCTCTCAATCAATGTTAAAGCTTTTAAAAATGTTTATCTGAGAAAACAAGTTGATCAAAACCATTAGGCAAGTCACTTTGGAAACTAAGCAGGGTCAGCCTTGGTTAGCACTTGGATGGGAGACCACTATTGAATACATTCCATTCAGAAGAAGAAAATGGTGAAGCCTCTTCTGAGTATCCTTTGCCTAAGAAAACTATCATCATTATCATCTGTATTTATACTCCACTTTTAGACTATGCAGCTAACATTAGAAACCATAACCATGTGTAAATTAAAACCCAACACTTACATTGACATAGAAGTAAACATAAGTCAACATGTGACTTGAAGTACATCTGAGCTTCACCGATAATGTAAATATAAACTTACTATTATGGCGTGGGCAGGTGGGAATTCATTTGTTAATACTGAGTAGGGAGTTATGCTCTTTTAATACTAATGAATCAGGTACAAGTGGACAGGATTTTATTGGCTAATACGGGTCCAGTCTACACGGCATTAAAGCAATCCCCAAGTTACAAACAAGATAAGTTCTGGGTTGTTGTAGGTATTTCGGGCTATATGACCATGTTCTAGAAGCATTCTCTCCTGACGTTTTGCCTGCATCAATGGCAAGCATCCTCAGAGGTTTTGAGGTCTCACTACCTCTGAGGATGCTTGCTATAGATGCAGTCGAAATGTAAGGAGAAAATGCTTCTAGAACATGGCCATATAGCTCGAAAAACCTAAAACAACCCAGTGATTCCAGCCACGAAAGCCTTTGACAATACAAGATAAGTTCTATTTGTTTGTTCTTAAGTTGAACTTGTATGTAAGTCAGAACTGGCACATTTTTAAAGTGAAACACTAATAATAATCATCATTAGTTAATTCTGCTCTATCTCCCCAGAGGGACTAAGAATGGATTCCAAACATAAAAGGCAAACATTCAATGCCCGAATACAACAACACATCATACTAACAAAATCAATCAATCTATCTATCTATCTATCTATCTATCTATCTATCTATCTATCTTTGGATAGCACAGGGAAGAGTTAACACGCTTATGGTGTTTGTTTTGCTGCCTGGGCCCCTGTTCAGGAGATTTCTCCTCACTTTCTGTCCGTCTGACAATTTGATTTTGAAAAATGTGGCTTGTTGCAGAAACAAGGATTGGTGATAAAGCTTCAGTGCGGACACCTTGTCCCATGATAACAACTCTTCCGGGAGTGAATTTCCCTTCTGAGGGGTAGAATTCTCTCACTTCCTGTTGTCTCACCCCCGTTCTTAACTATGAGTCGTTTGTAAGTCGGATGTTTGGAACTTGGGGACTGTCTGTATATGTTTCAGAGGAGACTCATATAATACAGTTCAGTGAAGTTAGGCTGCCTTGTATGAGTCTGCGCTGATAATATAACCTAGTTTCAAACTGCAGTGTAGATGGGTCCACTGACTGATTTATTAGGAAGGAGACACAGCCCTACGGTGCGCAAAATCAAGAGTGTTTCCTTGTCTTGAAAAGTGGCTCCCATTCAGCAGAAGTTGTCTACTTTTGATCTAATTCAAATGAGGACTGGTTGGTCCGACAACATACAGGGAACATGCAGAGTCAGTTTCCTTCATGTGACTTCAACCCAACGCCATCCCACCTTTTTCAAAGTCCTTGACTGGCCTTCAGCACAGCTGGTTAATCACCAGCAGCAATAGATCTTGTTGGATCTTGCAAGGAATCAATTAATGTGTGTGTCAACTATAAAATAAGATGCACGAAGGTGATTGTTCAAGCTATGCCCAGGGAGCAGGCTGAGCCAGGAACTTGTGGATACTGTCACATTTTTCAGGCTTAAGCTATGCACGTGTTCAGAGAGAAGAAGAAACAGACAGAGACAGAGTTAGGAGTGTGCTCTCACTTCATCAGCCACTGAAGAAGTTTATCTACATGGACAAAGAAAGACCATTTTAAATCTCCCATTAAAGGACATTATGTGAGTTGATGCAACTGACCACATTGTACATAGTTGTTCTGAATTACAAAAAGTAAACTATTTGTTCTTTATTGTTCATCTGTATGGCTTTTTTTCTTTCTCTGGCAAGGCAGTGTGTGGGTTGATCAAACATAAACTACACATGGTTTATTTTTACATTACACCACAGATCTTATCAACTGAAAGGTTGGCAGTTCGAAGCCCAGGTCGGGGTGAGCACCTGATCTTCAACCCAGCTTACTGTCCACCTAAGCACTTCAAAAACACCACTTAAGCGGGGAGGTATTTTACAGCACCATAAAAGAAATACCGGAAATGCCGGCAATCAAAGGAAGGAGGAAGTCTGTGATCAAGGCTCTTCATCATACAGGATGGAGCAACAGCCCCCCCCCCCCCCGTGGCCAGAATCAAGCACAACCTCCAGGATGCCAAAATTGGGAAAGATGCCGACATAATACCTCTCTCTGTTGTCTGTCCTGTCTGTTTAATGGCATTGAATGTTTGCCCTGTACATGTTCTGTGATCCATCCTGAGTTCTCTTTGGGGTGAGAAGGGCAGAATATAAATACTGTAAATAAATACATAAATAATTGTAATACCCTCTTCCTTCATTTTCTACCAGTAAAAAATGTAGTGTTGTTTATCAAAAGCTGCCAACTGGTCAAGCAGATCAATAGGGAGGGACTTCTGCTTCCAGTCTCTAGCTTAGGTCAAGATAGCCTAATATTTACTTACTTTACTAACTTACTTACTTGGACCAGACATGCAGGAAACCAAGAACCAAGATAGACAACACAGATGACTAAATGTTAATATAGAGATCTTGTTGAATTTCTGCTATAAAGTGTGTGTTGTGAGTGTGCATGTATGTATGGTGGGGGTGAGAGACAACTCACAATGAAAACTACTTTGCACACTTTGAAATATAAAAGTGTAATTTCAACTTTCTAAAAACCTTTTAAATAATGTAACAATTAAAACATCAGAACAGTGTAAGCTGTGTGTGTAATTAGAGATCTGGATACATTTTTGGGAGTTTTTTTTTTACAATGCAAGGAGGAGGGAAGTATTTATAATGCAGTTTAATGCAAAGGGTTTTGAGGGACCTGATTCTAATGCATAACTTGCCACTAGCAAGCATGTAGAATGATAAAACCACCAAGAAAGTTAGGAAGATCGGGAGAGAAAAGCACATGGCTCATTAGATACCCATTGCCTAAGCTGTTGAGGTGAAGAATAAGAGTGTCACTCAACTGCTACATTGCATATTCTTTTAGCCAATCTAGGAGAAAGGTCACATTTCATTTGCAGTTGAGTTAACATGTGGAGTTACTATAATTAGGTATTAAAGTAGCTCCTTTTGGTGCCGGGGCTCAGGATTTCTTAAATGCATAAAGTGTTTCATCAAGCATGTCACTTCAGTCCATAGCATCAAAAAATTATTTCGTGCTCCTACAGCCTCTGCATTCCTTCTGATGTCAAAAGTAATTTATTTATTGAATTCTGCAGGCCATAAAAATGCAGACTCCAAAGACAGAAATAGGTCACAAAAGATTATACTAGCTTATGTATGCTATCCAAATTACGTGAATCTACCATTAAGAACCAGAAGCCACTACAGTACTCCATTACATTCCCACATGTTTAATTTATAGACACTTAAGGCCAAATTAAGCCCCACTTAGCATGTATCCCTGTAGATGTTAACATTAGACTTAGGATTAATCCCACGAAAGACATGGATCCGGCATCCCGTTTCCTGAGATGTCAGTACGATAACTGCAGACCTGGGCTTGCAACTTGAGGTGTCACAGAGGTATGGCAGGGAAGGTTTGATCCAGGAACTATTCCTGGATCAAGCTGTAAAGGACCTTAAAGACAATTCAATTTGTAGTTGTTTATTGGTTCAGTC